TGAGAGAAAGGCGTGGACTGGAGTGTTTTCCTGGAGGATGCAGCACAGAAATCAGCGAGGCTGAGGAGCTGATGGACGTCAATGTGGGATTTGTAAGTACATGTACATTTTACTACTACAGCTTACACATCTATCCTTTGAAACTATGTTAAAATAAAAGCAATTTAGTCATATTAAGTCTGCGTAAAGTATTAAAATCTGTAATGGTGTGCAACGCAATTGTAACCATAATAACCACAATTTTCATCAATGAGTGAGATAGGGATACTTAGAGTTTCATCCAATTCAAGTTTGAATATTTTATCATTAGAAATTAATATTCAAATATTTCAAATCTCAAGGGTTAAATGCATTAAATGTATTCAGATCAGATCAGCGAAGGAAGCTATGCAAGATTTAAACACAAGTGTGAATATTAGTGAGAAGATGCCATTGAGAACTATTAAATATATTTGGTAGGAAGTCTTACAGTATATAGTATATATTATGTTAACAAACAAAGCTTCAGAAGCACACCATCCCCTGAGTGAAGCTTAATGATAAACATATTTTTACTTAATGCATAATCAGGTTATAATCAAAATTTGTTGCTAAATTTGTTATAAAAATATGTTGCTAAAAAGTTAAATTGGATATGTAGTAAGTTTAAGTAATGCATATAAATTCCTAGTCATGCCATTTTTAACCTGTTCTATGCATTTGCAAATAAAAGCAAACCAATGTGCAAACCAGGCAGAGACTGAGCTGGGATTGTGTTTAAAATTGGTTTCACAAAATATTGATTCATGGGAAATTAATCCAAAGGAAACATTTTTAAACTTTGGCATCAGGAGGGTAATGGTAAAAAGTGGGATGTATCCCTGTTTTTTGGAAGCAGGTTTCTGCAGAGTGAGATTCTATCCTTTGAAACCAAACATGGTGAACAAAAAGCAGACCCTGAGAGCAGATCAGAGAGCAGAGAAACAGTCCTCTGTTTAAAAGGGATAAGGTGTAACTCAGTCAACCGTGTCAGTGAGGCGTTTACCATTACCGTGTTCCTACATACCAGGCTCTGCAAAGTCATCTACATTACTCTGTTGCTTAGTGCACCTGCTGCATATATATCAGATGTCTCAACTGAAAGCCTGTGGATAGGGCTGGATATGTTTAAGCAGTGGTTGTGTTTGAAGACTTCCGGCTGGCATTTGCTTTTATGAATGATTTGAATGTAAATCTACAAATATCCTTTTTTGGTGCATTTAATGCTGCATTGGTGGAGCCTATGTGATAGACACAGAGTACTTAGCCGCTAACCTTACACCCTGGGTCTGGTCATTTACCCTCAGTGCAGTCTGCTCCCCTTCCTACTCCTCATAAGTAGTTTCTGCAGAGACAATCTTACTCCCTTCAGACTGCCTCTGGTTGTGGTTTATGTCCTACCACTAACCACTAGGATTCCTTCCTCTTCAGGGCTCACTCCCGGCCTTTGGGAACTCCTTTCAGTGTTACAGGGGGGCTATTATAATATATAATCATATCTAAAAATGTATTTACAGGAGGAAAGCGGCAGCCTCCTGTACAGCGGAGCTGCGACCACTAAAGAAATAAATCAAGTAAGCTTATACGATCTGACTTTGAATAAAAGCTGAAACACAGAAAAAATATTTTTTTTCTTTTTTTTTTTTTTGCAGAAACCTACAGAACTTGCCGGTGAAACTGGATTGGATGAAGGATCTGGAATGTAGCCAGAAAGAAAAGAAGATGATGTTTGTTTCTTAAAAGGCATCTTTGTGCCAAGTTCAACTTTCCTTCAGTCCTATTATAGAAACATAAAAAAATGGTAACTATACATTAGTAAGGTTGGAAATAAGCTGAGACTCAGCTTAAGTCCTATTTTACACCAGAAACAATAAAACAAAAGGAACTGAGAGTGTAGATAAGTTGATGGCACTTTTTTTTCACCCTTTAATGACAGATTCTAACACTCAGTTTAGTTATATATAATTTAGATCTATGTTTTGAGCTCTAAAGATGGGTGTTTGAACAAATTAAGCAAAGATATTATGGCTTGTATTTTTCTTAGCTGAGATATTCTGTGTATATTACCCTGCTAATAACTAAGATCGTATATAATAAACAAGTGAACAATCAAATAAAGTTTTGAAAATCAAATTGTGCCTGAGTTTGTTTATTTCTCCTCTGTAGTATTACACATGTAACGGCATGAGGCCAATCAAACCATGGTCTCACATGCCTTTGTTTCTCTCCCTGTTTATTAACAACTATTTGTTGTCTTATTGAATGTTAATTTATGTTTTCTGTCATTGCACTCAAAGTTTGAGATGAGTACATTTCTTAAGTAAAGCTTAAGTGCAATCGCTATAGTTCCTATATTTATTTATTTATTTTTTTATTACACATATTTTTTCTTTCAGATAATAAAAAACACGAAAACAAAAACAAAAGGCACAGCATAGAAAGCAACACAGTAAGCAAATCTACTGTATCGGCAGGCTGACAACTTATATACAGCATCTCATCATATAGTTACATACTTCAGCAACTTCAGGAAACAAAAAAAGCTGCTGAGAGGCTGAGGTTGGGCCATTCCTTGTCTGACGCTTCAAAAAAGGAATCTGCAGAGATCAATATGGTGCTGATGTGAACATTATTCACATCAAAGTTATAAAGACATATCCAAAATATAACTTGTCGAAATGTAGATTACAGCGATTTGCATTGTGGTCAACAAAAAATACAACGGCCCACTCACCCACCCTCTGCCAGGGAGACTCCCACAGGTGAGTAATATGCCCGATTACAAAACTCGTCCCAAATCTAATTGATCCATTCCCCTACAAACACACAAACAAAGCAACACATAAAAACAAAACCATAACAGCTATAAACTCAGACAAATGAACATCAGAGAATCTTTTTATTTATGGCTCCAACAACATATTGTAGTGGGAAAAAAGTATTCAAATATTCACTCTAGTTAAATAAACGGAGATTAATGGATTTCACTCAGTCGGCACTTTATTCATATCCTTGCAAAGAGAGAACAGTTCATCATACAGCCCTTATGGCAAAGCAATCAGCCCTGTTCTGCATTAGCAGGGTTCGCTCCCCCTTACTTACAACAACAATAGAAAGTAGTGAAAGTCAAAACAAATTACAAACACTTTGGTTAACACTGACATGTTATGAATAAACCTTGAGAAAAAATCTGGCCTGTTTCGGGAAGAAGAATTGTCTGGTCTACAAACACCCTCATGCAGGCGAGTTGTCCAGCCTTGCAGGTGAAAGAGACCAAGTGAAAACTTTTATAGTGGGTAAATAGGATAAATTAATATATGAAATAAGAGAAATCGAAATTTTCTGACAGCAATATACATTTGATCCATTTTGTCTTCATGACCTTTCAATCTTCACACGCTTGAAGATATTTTCCCGTTTTTTAAATAAGTGCAACTTAACATTGAGACAATACCTCAATCTTTCTAAAGTTACATCTTCAGATATCAGAGCTTTCCCGATCTGAACGGAAGGGGCATCACAACCAACTCATTTGGTTAATATAGCCTTCTTATCCAACATCAGGAGAAACTGAACAGTCACACTGTGAACTTACAGGGGTTCAGGTATAAGTTCCAGCCAAGGGTGTACCTTTGTAATGAAAGTTGGTGGGGACACTAAGGGTGGTGGTTGATGGACCTACAGTTACTCGACACAAACGCTTTCAATAGGATTTGAGCTCAATTTTTCCAAAACTTAGCTCAAACATATATTTATTTAATGCTTTCCTATTATTGAGAACACAAAGAGCCAAAATACACTGATATTTATATTTATGGGTACTTAGACATTAATGTGTATTAAAAAAAAGGACGAGTAACAGCCAATTCCGATTCCAACAGCAACATATCATGCCTCCCCAGTTTCATTCAACCATGCATCCAGAAAAATGTAAATCGGTTGATAGATGTTTTTCATTTCAGCTACATCAGCGATTATCCTCTTTCAAAAGCAACAAAATCAAATTTAGAAATTTGTCCCACATATTGTTGAGAGCCAAAGTCTACCCTATCTATCTATCTATCTATCTATCTATCTATCTATCTATCTATCTATCTATCTATCTATCTATCTATCTATCTATCTATCTATCTATCTATCTATCTATCTATCTATCTATCTATCTGTCTGTCTGTCTGTCTGTCTGTCTGTCTGTCTGTCTGTCTGTCTGTCTGTCTGTCTGTCTGTCTGTCTGTCTGTCTGTCCATCCGTCTATCTAGTGCCTTTAGTTAAGTAAGGTTTTGGAGAAAGAACGATAGGATGTGTAAACATTGTGTAGGATGTTGAATTGCATTTCTTTGTTTCTATTACAGATTGTTTTTAAGATGGCAAAGCTAATAACTAAACTAATTTACTATTTACGTATTATTTACAATGTAGTGTTAGAAAGACAGTAGGTTTTTGTTTCAATCACATGCTGATCACGAGTTAGTGGTTCTTTATCATCGCATTTATCCCCCCCCCCCCCCCCCCCCCCCCCCCATAGAAGATAGCATTTTAAGAAATAAACATGTTTCAATCAATGTTGTTTTTATTTAAGTTTGCGTTATATTTAAGGATTTGTTATCTTCACTTACTGTGACATTTAGGTACGCAGCCTCGATAGGAAACTACTGTGTTCGCTTTTTAAATCTCAGTCTGGGCTTATAAAGTTGCTTTTAGAAGAGTAAAACAGAGTTTTTGCAATCTAAAAACAATATATATATTTTAATAAACGTATTTTACGCAATTGTTTGTACAGTTGGTCTGAAAGCTATACAAACAAATATTTTTGCATTCATTTTCACGATGTAAATTTTACAATTGTCTTTTTTTCTACAGATTATTAGCTATAAGTGAAATATATATATATCTAGTAAAATAAAATCAATATCAATTTTTTACGTGTTTAATTATCCTCATTTATTTATTTTGAAACTACCCTAAAACTCTTATTTCCGACTGCTCCTGAAGTCAGCACATGTAACGACAGCGCTAGCTGATACAGCGTCTGGGCTAATCTTTGCAAACCAGAAACTATAGCGGCGGAGTCATTTAAAAAGGAAACCCTTTCAAGATGTAAGTCTTTTATGGATCTATACAAGTTTTAAACATTTTATATGTATGAAAGCTACTTTTTTACGGCGTGGAATGGTGATACACGCCATAGCAAAACAACGCCCAAAACTTTGCTATATTAGCTTGCAACAAGTGCTAACATTTAAGCTAAGCTAACTTGAACTTTTTAGCTTTGCCACCGTTAGACAACAGTGTCATATTGTTGTTTGGCGCTTAGGCAGCCTAAAAAACCCTACTTTGGAAGTTTGTATAACTTCGTCCCCCTTTTAAAAATAAAGAGTTAGTTAAAACGAGGTTAAACCGCCGTTCTAGCTAAACCAGCTACTCCCTGTTCACAACTTAGTGCAACATTTTTAAAACAGTTGTCCCCACGGACTTGTTGATTTTGTTACTTTTTCAATGTTTGGTAATGTTTGCTCTTTAATAGGGCGTAACTTTAGCTTTGATGAAGGCCGGATACTGAAAGTATGTTTGATTTATGTAAGGATATATTTAGATATTTCGTTAGCAACATTTTTATAAATGGGTTATTCAGAATGGCTAATTCCTGTGTATGATTAATTTGTCTTTGACTCTTTTACTTAACATTTAATTGATAAGCAATTGAAGTTGATAGTTTTTACCAGAGATTACCAATAAATCGCAGATTTCCTTTAATCTGCAGTGGTCAAATGATGACAAGTCAGTCAGTAGTTTTGTTTACTTCTCAATTATACTAATTTTTTTCAGTATTTTTATGCAATTTTTGGTTTTTAAATGCACAACTGAACTTCTGTGCACTGGTGGTTTGATATTTATAATAAAGTAGAAAATCCCTTTATTGTCCCACAGTAAAAATGGGACAATAATCTGTTGGGATAAAAACAATAGGAAAATAGAATTAGAGTTAGAGTAGGCAAATGTGACTTAAAATGTAAAAAAAAAGGGCATTCTGATAATTTTTTTATTTTTAAACATAATTGGATGTTAAATATCAAATACACTTACTATAAAGTTCAGTTGCATATTGTGTAATCTTTAAATGTCACTGTGGAAAATGTTTAAAGGTATTCAGAAGTAGTTCATATCAAATTTATTTTCAGTGTAAACCGGGGGAGAACAGCATTTTTTAACGTCTTATCCATGGAGTCCCATAATGCTGTTATCTGAAAAGCTTTTCCATTGCATCACCGGCATTTCATACTTGTTAAAGTTTTAAAGTGGATGGCTGCTCACACTTCATGTTTATATTTATACTCTCAAGCTCCAGGACACAGGGCATTTTTTTTGTCCTTGACACATATCTCCAGAATATATTTATTAATTGTCTAGAAAGATTTGGGTTGAGGAGTAAATTTCTTGTTGCAGATTCACTTTTTCTTTTTAAAGGGAACTTACTGGTATGCATTTGTAGCTTAAGCTAAACCCTTATGATTTATTGTCTTACTGAAAATCATTACTGAAATATTTTCTAAAATAATCAAGGAGTTTTTTTCTCTACTCCCAGTTTTTGTCAGGCTGTTGCTCAAACTTTCCAGAACTTTCCGTTCCTGTTGCTTTTTTTAGATAAAGGTGATTGATTATCAGACAATGTTGAGAAAATAAAGTGTAGCGCATAATAATAACCTCCTTGCTTGGTGCTATATGATAAAGCAGATACTAATTGTTATTTAGATAGCTTGATAACCTTAGACTAACTTTAGTTTTGCTTGCTAAAGAAATATATTTGTTTAATTAGAACCCAGATCGCTAATTTACAATATAAATGATGCCATGGACAATTGAATAAGGTTGAATGTATAGGCATAAACTTGTTCAAACATGATTTGAAGAACAATAAAGTGTTTGTAGCAGGTTTCGGGAGGTGTCATGTGGTTAGGGCGCATAAAGGGAGAATATGGCATAAATAAAGGATTGGATTTACATGCTTATCCCTTTCCTTGGCTTTGTTCATCCTTCCAACCCTGATAGCATGGGTACTTTTCACTGCGTTGTACAAGAGCATCAACAATTAAAATAACGATGGTGGATTTCAGCTTCACGCTGGTACATCCAAGTTGTACTTTTTTATTGCGGTGAAGTTTCATACACAAGAAACAGAATTGAGATGGAGAACTGAGAAGGATAACTGAAATTAGGTCCCACCTTTCCTTCAATTTTTTTCAGGTTGGGCATCATTGTCAACTTCTGTATTTCAGAACATATTTGCCTGCATCTACAATTTCTAATATAAGAAAGATGATAGAAACACTATTTTTTATCCGCTTCTGCTTATGTAACTATCATCTTGTCTCGTTGCGTCTTGTCGTCTTCAGGCCAGGGCAGCAGAGAGACATGCTCTCTTCAGTTTGTCCTGGGTTGTCCTCTAGACCTCCTTCCTGTGGGACATGCCTGGAAAACCTTCTCAGCGAGGCGTTCAGGGGAAAGTCTGAAAAAGATGTCCCAGGCAGCTGACTCCCTTTTATGTGGATGGAGAGCAGCTTTACTCAAGCCCCTCCCAAATGAGCTCCTCACCCTATCTCTAAGGGAGTGCCAAGCCACCCTGTGGAGAAACCTCATTTTTTCAACTCCGCTATCTCTGCCATGTCTGTCTCGCCTACTGTTTACGCGAGTGTGTGTGTGTGCAAGCGGAAGGGGGTAGTAGGGCTAAAGGAAGCAAGGTAGGAGGACAAAATAGGTTTAGCACCACCGCAGCACGGAAGTCCGAATTACATCTAGGAGCAAATGGATAAAAATAGACCCGGAGGAAAAAAAACATGAATTCATACTCTTCTAGACGTGACGCTTCATCAGATCGTCGGCTGTTGGATCATTGCATCGCTATAAAACGATTATTATTTACTCTCCTAATGGCGGTGTAGGCGCAGCATACAAAACTGGTCCCGAAGGCTACTTTTACACAGCAAGTGATCCAATTCTAACTTTTTTTCCCCAAACGCGACCTGTATCTGATCTTTTCATGACAGTCTGAACAATGATCTGACTTTTTTCCCCAATGTGATCCAGGCCACTTGTCCTCAATCCAGTGCGTATCTGATCTTTTCAAATGAAACCTGTGTGTGAACGTCATTGTGTCCTCTGCTGCGCAAGCAGGACACTAGAGTTGTGTGATTGCAGTGCACACAGGAGATCACATACATGTCACATATATTTGGAAATTTAAAGAACCTCTATTAATTTTGCTAGTGATATTTTTAAATGAAACCCAAATCTGGGGTAAAAACTGCGCTTTTAACAGTTGAACTAGAGCAAAAGTCAAAACGCAGTACTTCTGGTGTTGTTGTTCTGTTACATAACAAAGGCTGTCGAAATAGTAAAGCCTTCTGTTGTATTTTGCAGTCATAAAACACCCAGGATATAAAACTTTACTTTGCTGGCAATCTTGGTTAAACATTAATTCTTATGTTAAAATACACTTTGAACTGAAGTGATATGTCTTTTACATGATTATCCTCAGTTTTCTCCCTATTTTGGTTTTAAATTTGATTCATCAAAGATAATAGTAGAAAGGAAAACATATAGTTGTGATATTAATAATAAATATTCTGGTCCAAGTCTTGCTTACCATAGATGCAACTTTTTGGTTTAGTTTTTTGTTGAAATAATAGTTTTACACAAAGCTGTGGAAATCCTGTGCATCTACTATTAACAAACCAGCTGGTTAGATACACATTTGTAAACATAACCTATCTCACCAATACTTCTTAGACCCACCAACTGCCACTTGTAACCAGGTAATCCATTGGAAATTATAACATAAAAATTGCAGTAAAGATGTCAACAAATATCAGAGGTCACGGATTAACGGACCGCAGTCTGGATCCGGACCCACCTGCTGGCTAATCCAGACCCAACCCATCCAAATTGTAGCTGACCGCTAACAGTGCCGCAGACAGGAGGCCGGCTTGTTTTGTTTTTATGACTGAAATTGCGGAAAACAACTTGTGAAGTTTGACCAGCTAGAAGAGCGAGGTGCGCGAGAACGCTGGGACCCTTTTTCCCCCTGGATCTCCGCTCTTTTTGGCCCTCATGTCCCTCCGTTGTCGGACAAACTCGCCCCCACTTCCTCTCGGCCGTATCTAGACCCACAGTGTATAGCGCAGACCATATTTAGCATAAATCAAAAATGTCTGTGTCAAGCTCACTGCGACACACTGCTGTAAAAGTATAACCAGGAAGCGAGGTAGGAGGGCAAAATAGGTTTAGCGCCACCGCAGCACTGGAGGGAGAATTACACCCAGGAGCAAATGGATAAAAATAGACCAGAGGAAGAAAAAAACATGAATCGATACTCTTGCGATACTCGTTTCATCGTTTTTTTATTTAAAAATTGAATGTATAACATGGGTGCATAAATAACCTCCTTTTATTTCAGTTTTAAGTTCTGTTTTAAGTAACAGATTATAATTAAAAATGTCTCCGGACCTTTACTGGTTGATGATGATCTTTACTCGGACCCTGCTGATTTTTTTATTGGTTACCCCTGATATGGAGCATGTTGCTGCATGAAAAGGTACCAACAGGTCCCAGAATAGATCTGCATTGTAGTTAAATCAAACACATCTCCATTCTCAGTGGTGGATGCCTCATGTTCATTGATACAATACGTCCAACTCAGTTATTATGCTATATTTTGTATTTACTATATAATTTTGATATTATTCCATGTTTTTTAGTTCTCTTGTATATTTTCCGTAGACCTGCAGTAGTCTTGTGTATGTATTGGCTCAGGTTTCAGGGTTGTTGATAAAGAGACCGCTCTGATTTATGTAAGGCACAATATGCTCCATGCTACACGTGGGAAGGTATCAGTATTACCCTTATGGATGGTTATATGGTGGTCTTTAAACCTACGACCCAAATTATGACTAGAACAAACAAAATGGATTGATTTGGTTTGTTTGAGGGATTTATATTGACTCTAACCACATGTCTTTAGCAGCATTAACAACTTAGGAAAGATAAACCAAGTCTTTATCTCAACTTTAGCTGCTTTGGTTCCTGTAGCACTGAGAATCTGCTGTCTTTTGAGCTTTAAACTTAATCCTAAGCAGGACTTCAAATCCACCCAGATTTTGTTCTAGATGCCTGGCTGTGAAAATTAATTTTGATAAATTGCTGGATTATTTGTTTAAAGAAGGAGCGAGCCATCTCTAAATAGGGTTGTCTGTCAGCACTGGTGAGATATGGAAAAAACTGTTAACCCTTAGCTGGACCACCAGGCTTACCACAGCCTTTTTATTGACATGTTTTAATCAATTCATCAGGTCAGCCCCTGGTCCAGAAGGTTCTGCTACAGCGTCGAGCAACAAGCGCTTGCAGCAGACGCAGGCTCAAGTGGATGAGGTAAGTTATAGTTTGGTTCCTCACACATTGAAGAATCAAAAAGGGACTTATTTGTTAAAAAACTTACTTATCACTGTTTCTCCGCTTGCTGCTTTTTGAACCAAAAGGCTGAAATTAGGCTTTTTAGGTAAAGCTTCCTATTTCTTTCTAGTTCAAAGCAAATATTGAATATAAACTCAGCCTTGATGAATGGTGTCACCTAGCGACCAACCACCAGCCCCTCCCCTTTCCCCTGGTGATTCTGTTGCAGAAACTTGCATAACCCTTGGCATCAGTGCTTTGCTTAACCACCCTGAATCTGTTTTTTTCCGTAACGTTCTACCTCTGCGTTACTGTTCTCGGGACCAAAGACCTTCAGGGAATCGGCTTCTATTCACATAAGGTCATCAGGTAGAGGAGTAGCTTGTTAATACTCTTCCTTAGTGTTTCTCATTTCTCCCACCTCCCACCCGGACCTTTAACCTCCGTCTGCCACACAGAGCTTCCAATTGGTTCTTAGAGGTTTATATAATCTCCATCTCTGCCCTTATGTAAGGCCTGCATGAGCTTATTCACTCCTCTACCGTGCAGCTCAGCTGTGGGAGGTGGGGCAGTAGTGAGCTTTGTGGATCAGTGGAACATGTGGGTTACGTGCAGTGTGTGACTTGGTGTGCGCATACAGATGTTTGTTTGACTTTTAGTGAACTCGCAGTAAGATCAGCTTTGTGTGACGTACCTTTACATGCAAGATGGGATATGTCTTGATTGTTGTTTGTTAGGCTGCATTGCCACAGGATGTTTAACTAGCTTAGTTATATCATAATTTTTACTTTAACACACGTGCACATTCCTAAACATCTTCTTTTGTTGTTTCCTTTTATCAATGATAAAGATTAACGTCTCCAAATATCAGATGGTGTGTTATAGAAACACCAGAATTTCCCCATTGTGAGACATTAAAAGGGATTTTCTATTCTCTATATCCACATAAAGATTATACATATGTTTATTTATTTATTTTTTGTTGTGCAGGTAGTGGATATTATGCGTGTTAATGTGGACAAAGTACTGGAACGTGATCAGAAATTGTCTGAACTGGATGATAGAGCAGATGCACTGCAAGCTGGAGCTTCCCAGTTTGAGACCAGTGCGGCCAAACTGAAACGGAAGTTCTGGTGGAAGAACTGCAAGGTAGGCTACCGGTCTAAAATTTAATTCAGCAACTGTAGAATTTTAATAAGACTTATTTAACCACATTAAAATGAATGTTTTAAATAAAGGTTTTCTCATTTTGTTTTTATTTTGTGTCAATATTTTGTCACCTTTTTCTTTCAGATGTGGGCTATCTTGATAGCTGTTTTAGTGATCATCGTCATCATCATTATTAGTGAGTATAAAGACAAAGAACTTGTGAACACGGTTGTGTAAAGTTTCAAACGCTTTCAAGCTAATTTAAGCTATAAAAGCATTTAAGAAGTACCTCATTAAGGCTTTTATACCGTTGCTATTTCTTTGCTCAGGTTACAACTAAATTATGTTTTATGCAAAAGGAAAAGTAGAATAGAAATAGGATTTTATATCAGTTTTCAAGGAAGACCTTATATTTTGATCACATAATTATTAAAGAGAGCCCAGCTGTGCAAAATATAAGTTCGCTATAGATACTATTAAAAACTTTCTCCTTCTTGAATACAACAAGCAAACTGAAACTAAATTTTAACCCAAGAATATCTTAAAAAGAAAAATAACACGTTGGTGGCTTCATCATGCTGTGGGTATTCTAGTCTTTTGCCAATTGGAAAGATGGGGGTTAGAGTTGATTGGAATATGGATGGAGCCAAACCAGTGAAGACTTGAGGCAGGGTCAGGAGTCTACTTCCCACTCCTCTCTACAACATAGTGGCTTGGATATACGGCCAGGAGAAATATGGCTTTAAAAATGTAATCTTTGAGATTTTCCCAATTTACATATTTCCCCCTCCTTTGACAAAGCAGACATTACTTTCCAATCTTTTATCAGCTATGAATACATGTCTAATAAACAAAATATTAACTGATGTTATGCTGACCTATGGAAGCCCAAGATGTGCTTTGGTGCAGAAAAAAATCTTGATTTAAACAAAAAATCGTGGATCATTCTAAAACATAATTAGTCCTCTTGGACCTAAAACAGGTTTTATTTTTGAATTCTACATTCAACTTTTATATTCACCATCTTCAAATGTGGGTATGGTAGAGTTTTAAGCTAACTTGCAGTGTTCATTTCCCACCACATCGTCCATATCTGATGTGTAGTTAAACATTAAAATGATCAGAGATGCTCTTCATTTGGTGTGCCTTTCAGCTATTACCCTATTTACACTACCCTTGAAAAACCGCGCCGAGACCGGTCCGAGCTCAGTAACTGAGATAACTTATCGTGTGTAAATGGAAAGCAAACTGAACTGAACCGAGCTAGACACAACCGAACCGCGCTAACTGCAGTCCAGTTCCAGAGGTGGGCTCGGCTCGGTTTTTCCCTGGCTCGGTTCTCTGATAACAAGAGCGCATGAGCAGAACGCGTCATCTCCGTCTGGCTGCACATCCCGATTCACACTCCATTCCAGTAGTTGGCGGTAATGCGCCTCCAGAAGTTGTTTGCCAACCAACAAAAAACAGAAGAAGAAGAACAACTAAGTTATGCTGACTTTCTCAAGTAAATCCACGAAAGGTTGCCGTCTTCGCCTGACCCTCCGCAAACACCGATGTACAGCAATAATTATCAAGCATAACTTTCTGAATGTGACGGGCACCGCCATTTTGATATGTTTGATACCCTCCTTCTTCGTCTTCTTCTTCCTGTGTTTTATGGCGGTTGGCAAACAAGTTTTGGTGCATTACCGCCACCAACTGCTTGATTTCCTCCTTCAATACTGGCAGTAATACCACAGATCGTCACTAGGAGGCGAGGAGTCGAGTAATCGAGAAGTCGTGATGTGTAAATTGGCGTCAGAACCAAGCTCGGCCTGGTTAACTGATCCGAGCTCGGACCGGTCTCGCCATTGATTGGTTTTTCAAGGGTAGTGTAAATGGGGTATATGATGTTAAGAAGTTTTTAGATGTACAAATGCTTGATGAGACCCATTCCAAACCCTTGGTCTTTCAGTTTTCTTCACTTTTTTAACGAGTTTGACTTAATGAGGATACAAATTAATACAATTTATAAACGCTTGCACAATTGTATTGTGATGAAATGTAAAAAGAAATAGAAGGTATGAATGGTTTTATAAATAAAGATGAATATTTGAAACCAAATCCATTAATACTCAGCATTGCCTTTCTCTTTGCGAAACACTAGGAATTTACTGAGAATGTTTTTTAAATTGTTTCTTATCGAGTGCTTATTCTCTTTACAGTTTGGAGCTGCTCTTAAAATGGCAAGAGACTGCGGAGGATTGGAGGATCAGGCAACATGTGTTCGTGAAGTGTCTGAGAAAGAATCCAAATGCTCACGTTATTCACCTCCACCGATCTTCCTCTCTTTTCCTTGATTTGGTTGTTTATGTGTGTGTTTCCGTGTATTTGCAGAGGATCGTGTTAAAACTCCAGTTTAACCTCTGTGACCTACACTTACACACACACACACATGCACAAGTTTCTTTCTTGAGAATAGAAGCGAAGGAATTGTTTTAAACTGTCTGCTTACATTATTATATTATATATATTAATGATTTTGGGTGCCAGGCTAAAAAATGTGCCTTTGGGGTCTTTGTTAGAGTTTGCCAAACCCCTTTTCTACTACATATAGGTTTTTTTCTTTTCAAACAGTTATTACCAGTATTTTTATGTTTCTTTTTTTTCTTCCTCAATATATAGTCAGATTTTTTTTTTTTTTCATTTGTTACAATGGACTTGTGTGATTTAATACCTGTTTTGTGTTTTTACACATAGTTAAGTTACTCATTGTAGAAACTGAAAACAATTGATCTGAGGTGATTGAAATAAACATGTTATTTCGTTAGAAACTTGATCCTAAATTTACTCATACATTTTCTCCTTGGCACTTGCATGTTTATGTTTAGATAAGTGCCTTAATGCAAAAAAAAAAAAAAAGACCAAACTGCCTCAAAATAAGCATAAACGTTGTTATCAGGTGGGTTTTCTCACTTGGAGGCTCTCAGAGATGTTTTTATAAAAATTGCTTCGTGTTATGCTCAAGGACAGTGATTAAAGTAAATGTAGATTTAGACCAATGCCTTAAGGGTGTCCCAAATGAAAACGGCCAAATACCAACAACCACAGTCTTATCATTTGTTCCAGCCAGCAAAACGTATGTGCCTTCTAAATGCTCAAACAAAAACTACCCTTTGCTATAGACAGCTGAACTTAACCTCTAATTAACTCTCCTGTCAGTTTCACCTGATAATTTAATGTACTCCTCGCATTAGATACTTTAGATTTTGTGTAAAATAGCTTTTATTTGCATGCGTAATATGTAGAATTAGTCTAATGCTTAGATGTATTTTCATGGCTTTTCTTACTGCAGCTGAAAATTAATATATGACATTGTATTATATGCTACACAACACTGGATTTAGTTTTCTTATTCGTGTGTTATTTTCCATTGACTTTTTTGGCATTTTCCGAATATTGTGCTAATTTAACGTTGCCTCTCAGTGCATCCATGATTGTACAAAATCCATGTATAATTTTGGCTTTTTGTTGTTTTTGAATAATAATTTTATTGCATACAGTAAGCCATGCTCTCTCTTTACACAGAAATCTAACATCCTATAACTTTTAAGCCTTATAAATACATGCTGGGATTTTTTTTTCTTTGGAAAAGTGCAATTGTACTTTGTGACCCTAAAAAACAGTTGCTTGAATAAAACAGATAAAATTTATATAAAAAAACTTCTATTTCTTTTTCTCACCATATCAAATATCCATTGAAATTTCTAATGATTAAAACGGTTTCCTGTCTTATGTCTAGTAAGTGAAATATTTTAATGCCTTGTAATACCATCAAGCAGTATGTACACTAAAAAAAGAGGTTTTAAATATTTTAGCATGTAGCTCTGCTAGTTCTTTGTGTCTACAGACATAAATTCCTTATCTGTTATTCTTTGCATGATAGCTTGAATCCAGTCAGATTAGATGGAGAGGTATAGTGTTATTGTTCATCTTCAGGTCGCAGGGGAAGGAATTCTTGAGAGCGAATCCCAGCCGTTCCTCTCCTGTATCGCTTCAGTTGTTTAGATATCTGTTCCTTCGGATATATAGTCCCTCCACTGAAATGACGCCCAGGTTTCTAAACTCCTTTTGAAGCTTTGACTGACTGACCCCCAACCAAGGCGGAGCAGTTCATCACCTGGCTACAGGACGCCGATCCAAGCTGGTTAACTCTGAGCTGCACTACACTCCAGTGCAAGCTGAGGGTCATGACTCCAAGAAGCCGACAGCAGTAGATCACCTTTAAAAGGCAAAGCAAGGACCCTGAGGTCCTCAAACCAGAAGAGGGTCAAACTGATGACTCAGTTTGACCTGCTTCCTAGAGGCATGACTGTGCCTCGATATCCTGGTAAATCTCAGCCCCTTTAGAGTATATCTAAACATCTATTAGTATTGGTTTGTTATAGATTGTCATAAGTATGAAACTTTGGTCTTTATAATCTTTGAACAATCTTACTGTAGCTATGGCTGTGCAGCCAGGATTGTTGCTTTTGCTTAGTGTGTTTTAGTTTTTGTCTCTGAAAGGTTTCAACTGTTTTGCAACCTTTAACAGGTTTTTCAAGATAACCGTATATTTACCATCATCCGCCTCCGTATTTACTCCCACTACCTTCCATCTACCTGATGGGGCAAAATATTTGAACATGTAGCTGTCTTCAGCATTTTCCTTGATGAGGATGGTGTGATCAGGGGTTAATTTCCTATAGTTTTCCCCCGATGTTTGCTAAATACCCTACATGACTTCTTTCCAACATATCACACATTGATATCTATGCAGATGATAGTTTTTTTTTCTCAATCAAATTCAGGTCTGCACTTCAACTGGACCATTTCAGAATTTCATATTTAGCTCTAGTCATTTTACCATTAGCTTTAAACTGCGTCCCTGTCTCCTAAAAATGCAGCCCCATAGTATGATACTGCCACCACCATGTCCAAATGTGGGGATCGTGGAGTTTTAAGCTAATTTGTAGTGTTAATTTCCCACCATACTTGGGATCATGAGTGTTTCTAGTCATTTCAGATTTTTCTATATCAACAGTTTTATTTTATCAATTTAAAAATTAAGTTGTTTTGAGTTGTTATTTTTCAAATCATTTTTATTTGGTAAAGGCATAAACCATTTCTTTACAGAATTTCATAAATTGTTTACATTTTCCTTTCCCAAAGGTGTTGATTTATAAATACAAACAAAACAAATTACAGAAGCCAAGACAAATACAAATAATTAAGAAAAAAAAAATACAAAAAATTTAGAGAGAACATCTATGTCCATCCATACACGTTCTGTATTCCTATCCATTCCAAAGAAAAAAATTATTACAGTTAAAGTTCCAGAGCAATTAAGGTTTTTCTATCTCCATAAGTTCAGGTGCCCATGTCTTTTGGAACAATTTATCTTTAAACTGTAATTTTGCTGTTATTTTTTCCATTCCCATCCCTTCCTTAACTCTTTCCTACCAAAGGTCGGTGCTCGGGGGTTGTGGCTTTAGCCAGAAGATTGTTATTATTGAGGTTTTTACAGCACAAGGGGCTTGATTTTTTTGTACAGTGGGCTGACAGGGTACGAGAGAGGGAGAGATATTACCTAAGACTTACATGGGTCGTGCATGCTAACCACTGCCGCACCGAAGCACGCCCCAAGTTGTTGCACATTTAGTTTTAATCATATTGAGATGGGAGAACAGTTGCTACAGCTGAGGTTAACAGGGCCTGCTAATGTCTCTGGTTCAGTTAAAGGTATAGTGTGTAAGAATAACTGCCATCTAGTGGTTAAATGGGGTATTTTGCTCAAACTAACATCAAAAACTGCGTCACTGCCTCAAACAGGATTTTGAGGCAGCCGTTGTCTTAGCTCTCCGTGTTAAAAAGCCTTGAGAACATATTATGTAACTATGTCATCCAAAGTGAATTTTCTACAAGCTAGCATTTACTGTGACAAAATGCTGCTGTTCACCACCGCTTTCAAAGCTGCTAAACCCATGTAAACCTACAATTCTGCACCAAGATTGGTAAATATTTGCAGGTTCTACTTTTATGATTTCTATGGTAATGAGCAACACCGTTTGATTAAACAATGGAAAAACTTGGCTTTATGCTAATTTAGGAATCAAAGTTCACTCACTTTTCAAAGAGAAATATGGTGACTTCTGCGCCCCTTTTATAATTTTTCTCCTTTAGCTTCTTCTACCTAGAGAAGGCTTGCCCAATGTTTATCCTTGTTTTTTGATCCCTCTGGTTTTGTTGTCTTTAATGTTCACTGTTTGGCTTTCTTGTGGATCGTGAAACTGTTTCTTGTGCCCTTGCTGCATGTGCAGGACCCCGCACATGCAGCATATGCATAGTTGTTGGTTTATTGTCTGCATAAAACAGAATTATATCAACTCAAATGATCTTCACAGCTGCCTCTAAATCAAACTGAACCGCCAGCAAGGGGAAACACATTAATTTCAGTTAACGTGCCGCATATGTACTTTCAAGATGGCAGACTGTCATGGCCCTTTACAGCCTTATGTATAAACTAATATTAAAATATTTGCTTATGAAAATATAACTGATTATTAGAGGAAGTAAACCAATTATAACACATATGTAAATGCAATGACAATTTCAGGTAATTTTTACATAATGTTCCTTTAATGTTTCAAACAAAACATTTTGCCTTGTTTTAATATTTTTTTTTTTTTTTTATGTGCACCCATAATAAAATACTGGCCCCCCAGGTAAATTTGGTCGAGAACTGCCACTCCTTGGCATCATGCACGTTGTCCAGAGAGGTCAGTAATATTGGTCTAAATTAACCAAAGTAGTTTATTTCATATGGTTGCTTATTCAATCTGACCTCGTATATTTGAAGTATCTAGGGCCCCTAAAAAGCCTTGATTTGATTGTCCTGTCTGAAGCTAAAGAGATTGTCCTTTTTTAGGTACCATCTCCTGTTATATTTTTCAATGTGTAATTCCCCCTTAGTGTTTAGGATTATGTTAAAATAAATTATAAAGCATTTTAAGATGGAAAATAAATGTATTAGGTAGCATCTTCTGTTTTTCTTTTCCAATGTGTAATTCCCCCTTATGTTAAAATAAATAAGAAAGCATTTTAAGATGGAAAATAAATGTATTATGTAGCATCTTATGATGCATTTTTCAATGGGTATTTCCCCCTTATGGTTTAGGATTATGTTAAATTAAATAATAAAGCATTTTAAGATGGAAAATAAATGTATAAAAAAATCCATTTAAAAAGGTGTTGAGATGTGAAAACTATGAAGGCTATTCTTTATTTTAATTTTAAAGGATCGAATGGGCCAGATCGGGGTTAATCAAAAATGCTTGCGCAGTCTTCTCTGGCTTGTTGTCTCTCTGTTGTATAACATGGGGATACACGTGAGTCAACCGCGAGTCCCTGACAAGTCGAGGTGTGAAACACGCCCACTCGTCCAATCAAACGAGAGATTCAAATCCCGCCTGTCCAATCAGCGCATGCGGGGCGGAGCTACCGTATGCCCGGGCTCACGTTGCACATTTGTGTCAAAAGGTTTGCATTAGATGACGTTATACGACGCGTAACAGGAAAACAACTAAAAAAAATACTCACTTTATACCGGCTGTAGAATTAATTTTTTGGACGCCTAAGTTTTGGATTATCACACGCAAGACTCTCGTGGATCGCACCAGGTATTTTTTCCCCCTAAATAAATGAATCTAAATTAGTTTAAATAGTTGCCTAACTAGAAAAGCTAGCTAAACGCTGCATCCCAACAGCAGCTAATATATGTAAACAAAAGTAATTTAATCGCTTTATTTTATTACATGGTGCTAAGACGGTGATATGCAACTTCTGTTGGATGTCCGTCACTGAAGACAACGAATAAAGGTTTAATATTTGGTTTAATATTTAAGCTAAATAACATGTCTGCTGCTAGCGAGATGCGTTGTCTTTGCTAGCAGTCAGAATCATCGATACATTGAACCTGTGTCATTATAACGCCATTCAGATGCTAACCCTAAGCATTAACAGTTGATTTTCAGTTTGTATGTGAAATATTTGCTTGGAACATCGCAGAATAAGTAATCTTTTCTGAGAATATTTTAGTTATACTGAAAATAAATATATACGGCTATTATTAGGTAGCATTTGGGACAAAGATTTTTATGTTTGACTTAAGACAAAATCAAAAGGCACTAATTAAAGCATTAAATGTATTTGTGTTATTATTATTTTTTTACATGTCTCGCTGCACGTATCTAGCAGAGACGAGTGGGCGCTATTAGGGTCAGTGGGTTCTCCATGGGAGGGGCGATTGGGACCTCAAATCTGTGTTTTTGTTGTTTTAAGTTGTTGTGTTTTGTATTATTATATTTGTTGGTGTAAATCAGAGGCGTCATTAGGATTCTTAAAGATTGGGGCAGGGTGCCCACTCCAGTTCAGATGTGTTGACATTGTCCTACAATATGTAGAGACCCATGGGCCTATAAGCCGAGGACTAGTACAATACGGACTGGTACAAAATGTTTCTGGGAACAAACTGTTTTTAGGGGTTTTAGGATGTTGTTATCTGTACAGTATCCTATTATTTCTAGATTAGGTGTGCTGTATGGATTCTAAAACACATGGAACCGATCTCATGCAATATATTTTCATATAGTGTTACACATTTTAATTCTATGGAAAAGGATTAAGGCCACTGGAAAAAAAGTCAACTGATTTTTAAATATCATTTTAGTTTAATATGAGAAAAAAGTCAGAATTCTGACTTTAATCTCAGAATTCTGACTTTTTTCTCATATTGTACTGAAATAATAAAAAAAATCAGTTAACTTTTTAATTTTTTCCGTGGCCCTAATCCTCTTCCATATAAGTCACTATATGTTGATTTGGAACATTTTAGAGGAGATTAATGTTGACAATTTGAACACTCCTTTTGAGAGGACAAAAATTTTTTTACTACCCAGTAAAAATTAATAAGAAAAACAAAATAAAAATTGGTAAATAAAATAGTATAATAATTTTTTTTTTTTTGTTCCACAGTGGGACGAATTTATACATTTAAAGATTAGTTCATAAAACCTAAAATATTGGATTATACTTTTAATTATTTTCCAAAAATTTAAGATACTCCTATTATGTTATTTGTGTTTGTTCTATCAATCTGAAATCTTAAGTTTTCAAGATTTGTATATATGTATTTACAGAACGTAGACATATAAATGCTATATCTACTCAGTCTCTGTTTTATGATAAGATTTTCAGGAACACACTTAGATATGTTGATAGATGAACAGCTGACTAACATTCTTAGATTTTTTTCCCTATGTTGGTTTTATAAGTCTGGCCCTTGCTGGTCCTCCACCTCCTGCCTTACTTATTTTGAAAGCACATATTGTACATTATTTTGTCAGAGTTTAGGTACAAATCCTGAATGTTAACTGACGGAACTTAAACAGATGGCTCCTGTAGATATGTTTTACTAGTATTGGACATAAACAGAGCGTAAACCAAATTTAAACTTTCCATTTAAACTAATGAAGATGGTCTTACTCATGGTCTATTCATGTTATTTCCTACTTTTTGAGATCCTTTAGGACAAATAATACACCAATGATGAATATGAACATGCATTACATTTTGTTGCTCTCTGAGCAATAAACCTTTTTAATTTCTAACTTTGTGGCTACATTATAGCCTTTATTACCATGAATCTAAAGATGTGTTTATATATAGCTGGTTATGGTTTATGTTAGCACCAACTCCTTGTCTAAAATGGATTTAAACTTAGACTAAGAATCCAACAAAAAGTATTCAGATGATCCAAATATACCAGTAAACATAAGCTGAGCACAGGGACATTTAGTGAGAATAGACTCATTTCATCTTAATTTTTTGGGGCTGTAAATTTCAGCAAAAACATAAGAGAAAGGCTTAGTAATTAAGCTAAAAATGAAGAGAATGACACGGAAGATCACATTGTCCTTACCGACTTGTTCTGTACACACAGATGGCAACATAATCTAAAGTGTATTTCTATAAATCTTCCAGAAGTGATCTAATCTAGAGGCCCCCTGTTTTAACCTCTGTTCTTCCTGTTGTTTTTAGTGTTTGTCCAACTCCAGTAAAACCAGTCTAGACTACATATATCTGTACTGTATGAACCAATGACCAACATGTAGCTATCAAGAGCGCTATATATCTCCTCTGGGGAACAAAAATACGAAGAATGCAGAAATACGGAGATCTAAATGAAAAGTTAAACACGGTGGTGGCATGAAAGAGAGCCTGCAGGACGTGGCAAAGGATTGCTGAGTTTCTAAATGACCGAGTTATTCATCAGTGACATTTAACACAGACATCATCCCAATCACTGTACTGCATATTAATCTCGCGCCCCCCCGGGAATGAAGAGGACTTGGGAGCTGATAAAAATAAAACGGAAAGAACATATTGTCTGATTAGTTGGACTTTTTAATTCCTTAATGTATAGGCTAAAATAAAGCTAGAGGCTGATGCTACAACTTCTTGTATCAAATTAATACAAGAAGTGATCAGTATGACTAAAATCAAACTGATTTCTGAGCTGTTTCAGATCATAGCGGGTATAAATGGTAAAAATCTAGACTGTAATCTACAATGCTTTTTCTTTTCAGCGTAAATAAAACATCGTAGCCTTCCTCTTAGTGTTCAGTGTTCATACTGATCATTATGTGTTTGTTCTCTTTAATATATATATATATATATATATATATATATATATATATTAGGGATGGAACAGTTTATGAAAACCGTCCAAACCGTTCGGTTCGACTGTCTCGGTTCGGTTTGCGTGTGTTGCGTTCGGTTCATGCGCTGCTCCTTTTTCTCATAGGCGAAGCGATTACACTCCAGAGCAGAAGGTGGCGGTACTGCGACCAAAGCCAACCACCAGTAGTAAACAAGAAGAAGAAGAAGAAGCAAGCAGCATAGCCGGGTGTAGCAGAAAAAATTCAGTTGTTGTGGAGAATTGTGTGGGTATGGCGAGTGGGAAAGAACAGGAGTTGGAAGACGCGCCAGCAGCACTTTATAGGTCTGCTGTATGGGACCACTTTGCATTTAGAGTGACCTTCGATGAAGGCGGAAAGAAAGTTGTGGATAAAAGTACAACAGTGTGCAAGCATTGTGCAACATTTGTTTATGCTAACAGCAACACGACCAACATGTCATGCTAACCCCGAAATCACACATACTCCGTCAGCGCTCCGCCCCGCTGTGCTCCAGACCGGCTGCTCAAAGCAAAGCCTACAGCCTCCACTGTTGCTCCCATCTGCTCCGCTCTGAGTTCCTTGGAGATCGTAGAGGGCATGCGCGAGATGATTAAATTCAAAGCAGCAAAACATGCTGAAATGATCCATGGTTTCCGCAAATCGTTAAAAATAATTGCAATTCATTAATTTTTGGGGATTTTTTCATTAATTCCATTAATTTTTATGGGATTTCGGGGGAACAATCAACATATACCAAACCGAACCGAAAACCGTGAACACGAAACAGTGTACCAAACCGAACCGTGGATTTTGTGAACCATTCCACCCCTAGTTGGTGTGGTTGTACAGGTTGGTATGTCCACAAGGAGGAAGAATAAAAAAATAAATAAACTGAGAACTTAAAACAATATATGTTATAAATAAATTTAACAGTTTTTTGGTTATACTTAAAGCATAAACTGTAAGTTCCTTTCCCTCTGAATTAAATTGTCTTCACTGAAAGGATGGGTCATTGTTTCCTGAATAGCTGTATGTGATCTCCTCTGTGAACTGCATTCATACAACTTAAGTGTCCCGCATGCGCAGCAGAGGACGCAATGACATCCTGATGTGCTGGAGCACATCTAGCGATCTTTCCCAACCTCAGCCAGTGTATTAACAATACAATCTTTTCAAGATGGTTGAAAATAGACTGCTCTCAGCATTATAGTCTGCCATGGTTGTTGTTTTTCTTGCCGCTTCTGTGTAGAAAGACCCAGAATCGTGACCTTTGTAGAGTGTTAATGCCGTAGAAGTCGGATGAATGCGACCTGGCAGTTCAGACACAGGTTGCATTGGAAAATATCAAACATGTATCGGATTCAGGACCGCATAGCCAAGTGGCCGTCACATATCTGCAAAAAAAATGGGTTCCGATCACTTCAGGCTGCTTTGTGAAAATAGCCTAAAAGGTGTAGGACACCTGCCCTTGACAGTAAAATTTTAAATTCATGCAAGTGAGATTTTTTTTCGAACAAGTGTATTTTCACTTGATTTTAGGAGACAAGGAGGATACTTTACCTAAAGAATAAAATGATTTGCTTTGAAAATAAGAAAAAATAATATTGATCTTATTCCAAATGCATTGAATCTAATTGTTTTATTGTAATGGAAAAACAACTAATGTCATTGACGGATCATCTTATTTAACTGTTCAAATTAAGGGCAAATAAACAATTAAACAGATTAATCGTGATTAATCGATTATTGAAATAATCTTCAACTAATTCAGTAATTGATTAGTCATTAAGTGGAGTATAGAGAATGTAAAACATGCCTTTAGCTGAACAAAAATATACCAACAATTTGCATTTTAGATTAAAAAAAAAACTTTTTTTTTCATCTATCAGCATTCTCCATCCTGAACTCCTCAAAAGGAAAAGTTTCAGTTTCACCTGGTA